AATATTGAAAGTTTTTTTTTCGCAAATTTGTAGAAGATATTAAGAGTTGAAAATCGCATTTTAACTTTGTTATTAAGCATTATTTTGAAGGGGTTCTATGTTTAATTGGTAGCATATTGGAATATTCAACCGCTCGAAAAAAAAAAATATTATATTTGCTTCAAATTACTAAAATAATAATAATAATAAATACATTTTTTGCCATTATCAGGTAGTCACAGGTCACAGATATCTTTTGTCGTGAATAACAAGCATTTGTCAAATTGTTAGTTACTGACTTTCAAGCTTCTGTTACAAAATGTTCACCAATATTGAATATACGGATATGCTATTAGTTATTGGGGAATGCCACAGTAATGTAGCAGAAGCTGTTAGAACTTACGCCAACAGGTTTCCCAACCGACGACAGCCCAGCGCGCATGTCCTGCGCCGGCCAATTCAAAGGGCTAGAGATACTGGACGATTGGCTCCAAGAATTGAAATAGAAAGTGGACGACCAAGAGGTGCTCGGGTTCCAGACATAGAGGAACTGGTACTAAATATAATTGCAGCAGATCCTTCCAGGAGTACACGGAGCATTGCGCAACAAATTACACTTTCCCAGACAAATGTACACCGGATTATTGCCGAGGAAGGGCTTCACCCTTATCATTTATCTGAAACACATGCACTTTTACACACCGACTATCCATTAAGACAACGTTTTTGTAATTGGCTTTTGGAACAAAACCGACAAAATTCGCAGTTTTTACAACACATTTTATGGACCGACGAAGCAAATTTCAGTAGAGATGGATTTTTCAACTCCTGCAATTCACATGTTTATGCCACCGAAAACCCACATGCCACAATTTCGTTCCATCTCCAAGACCGATTCAGTGTAAATGTTTGGGCAGGAATCCTGGGTATTCACCTATTGGGACCCGTAATTTTGCCATATAGGCTCAATGGTGAAAACTTTTTATTGTTTCTTCGTTCGGAATTTCAAAATTTACTGGACAATCTGCCACTAGCCGCCGTTCAAAATCTCTGGCTCTAACTGGACGGGGCTCCAGCCCATTTCGCTGCTCCGGTAAGAGCTTGGCTTAACCATGAATAGGCAGACAAATGGATAGGCCGAAATGGACCAGTAAACTGGCCACTAAGATCCCCTGACCTGACTCCGATGGATTTCTTCTTCTGGGGGCACATTAAATCTCTTGTGTACCGAACACCAGTACAAAATGAGCAGGAGTTAGTAACTCGAATACGGAAAGCTGCACAAATTGTGAGTCCAGGAATTTTACGCAGAGTGCACAATAACATGATTAAACGAGCACAAACATGTTTGGAGTTAAATGGGCAGAACTTCGAACACCTCTTGTGAGTTGTCCCCATTTCAAAACGGTTCTTTTCAGAACCACAAATTCATATCTAAGAATTTCATTTCACCACCAAGCGCCGAAATGGTTCTCGTATTTATATGTTATTGACCACAAAATATCCCCCCAGGGGGTATGTTCTGTGGTTATTGACTTTTTTTATTGATTTTAATAGGTTCTTCACTTAACGTAGGTTGGTATCATTACGCTACAACTTTTTATTGGAGATATTGTTGAAATCGTTGAAAATGAAAAAAACCTTGTTGAAATTTGACACAACATCATGGCAGCTGAAAAAATAGGAATAAAACCTTCTTGAATATTATTAAAATTTTCTCTAACAAATAATTATTAATTTTCAAATTATAAAATAAAATATTTGTTAACAACCAAAAGTTATTCGCAAATTAGTACTCTCAAATGACGCCATCACTAGTATAAAATATTAATTTCCGGTCAGACTAATTGACAGAAAACGAAAATTCTTGACTGGCTCTCCTAACCATAATGAAATATTGTTATTGTCACTTTCGCTTTTAATGTTTATCCATGGTGACTGGAGTTTTTAATAATTACGAAGGAACAGGTATTTATGTAATGTTAATTAGGCAGATTACCTTGAAAAGCATAGATGCCGTAATTCCGATCTAGTTTTTTGCAAATATCTCAGTTTCTACTAATTAATTTTCCAATACTAATTAATTTTTTTTACTGTTTTTTCTGTACTCCCAAAACACCGCCAGACAACACCCTCAGAGGAATGACGCCAATTTTGAATCACCCTGTATTCAAAATTAATAATCTTGGTATTAGTCTCACTTCAAAATAGAGTTTCCTGCTGCCATTGTCGTTTATGTTGCCTTAAATATTTCTTTCATTTGCCCATTTTTCTTTCTAGTTTAGGGCCGGTCGATCACGCAGCCGCCCAAAAAAATCATGAAACACGAGGAAATAACGTCGGATTCGTGCGCGGTGAGTCCGCCTGACAAGACCCTTTTTCTCTAATAATATAGGCAATTATCAGTAATTTTTGTGATACCCTATTTGTGCAGATTATAGGCTTTTCTATAACCTTAATTTTTTGAGTTGAGGTTTGTTGAGTAGCTCCAATCAATAACACCACGATTTTAAGTTACACTTTAATTAGATTAGAATTTACAAAGGTTTACTGATTATTAAGATTAATGTGGAATTGCAATAATGAGTTTTGAGTTATGTGTATTATGTTTGAGAACAACAAAGGTAATGCGGAATTTTTGACAACCTTTTCACGTCAGTCAATTTCAGACTGTCACAGTTCAAAGCGGCACCGACGTTGCCAAGTCAAGTTCATAACATACCGCCCACTTTGAAAGAGTTCACTTTCAAGACCACAAAGTGCATTCAAATGTCTTGAGGTGAGTCACTGGGTAGAACGCACACCTTACTAACGGGTCGCCTTACAGTCCCATTTGCTGTTTGAACGTCTATTACGCGAACTACACCATCGTTGCCTGGAAAGGTCGACACTATCCGT